ATACGTGTTTGGAACGCCTTTACGATTCTGAATTGAATTCTATCCCAAGATGCATAGCAATATCAAATGATGCCAATCAACAATCCGTCAATGCCAAAACCTTGGTCTATCATTTTTGAGTGGCTCCGAAACGATTGCATTTTGTCAGTTTGTTTTGTTGGCTCCATCAAATCAATAAGAAACTTTCGAGAGAATCAATTAATTCGCTTTCATTCCTCGGAATTCAGGGTATCGATTCCCTGCTATTAACTATTCTGTCCTGGAATGTTTTAGATCATCCCTTCCACCCACCAGAAGGCTCCAGAAGTAGATGAAAGGCAAAAGCGGATGATATAACGCTATGCATTATCTGGCGAGGACGTATTGATGACCCCGGCCTTTCCCTTGGTGAGGTTAGAACTGGTTGTTCTTGTGGATGCTCCAATTTCACTTCGACATGGATCGTTCAAGCAAGACGTAAATATCAAGCATGTCACTTCCTGACAGCTGCTGCTCTCCACCTTTACACCGCTGCAAATTTTTCAAGGGGCACTAAGAGGGTGCTGCTTTCAGGAGTTAAGTTCAATAGAAGAATGCCTGAATATGCACTGTAAAGAAAAATGAAAAACTACAACCGGAAGGACGAAATACGTCAAAACTCGCGTTTCCGGTGAGCGACTAACTCAGGGAAGGATTCGGTATTATNACATGGATCGTTCAAGCAAGACGTAAATATCAAGCATGTCACTTCCTGACAGCTGCTGCGCTCCACCTTTACACCGCTGCAAATTTTTCAGGGGGTACTAAGAGGGTGCTGCTTTCAGCAAGTTAAGTTCAACAGAAGATTGCCTGAACATAGCACTGTAAAGAGAAATGAAAAACTACAACTGGAAGGAAGAAATACGTCAAAACTCGCGTTTCCGGTGAGCGACTAACTCAGGGAAGGATTCGGTATTAAACTCGGAGCAGTTAACAAAAGCATAAAGTCTCGTGAAGTTTCCTATCAAATGTTATGGAATTTACACAACAAAACTGAAAGAACGCAATCGTCCATGTCACTTCTGAGCTCGAAAAGACAAAAAATTGGCCTTGATTGATCCTATTTTCAAGCATACCCCCACATTTGGGTCCATTCAGAAAAGCGACATATTGAATGCCTATTTGGCTCATGCTATGTTTTGCAATAGCCAGACAAGTTACAGGTCAGTGCAGTGTCCTTTATCCTCCCGGAAAAGTCTGGTGCAAGTCAGCCGACCCGAAGGGACGGAAGACTTGTGTCGCCTCCACAGGTATGGATTCGAATCGGGATTCGATCTCCAGACTATGCGTGCGATAGTGCCCCACTAGTCATAACACTACCTCCGCCCACATGTTACCGGATATCCCGGCCGTCAAAATATACTATGTACAGCAGAGTGGTTCATAAAGATTCGAAAGAGACTAGGCACAATCTTTTGCTTGCGCCCAAATATGTGCAGGTATGTATAAGGCTCTGGAAAAATGGTCGACTTGATCAAACAATATATATGGACCCATGTAAAATCACCAGAACAGCCATCACAAGAACCACCTACCCACTTTTGCTTTTTTGTTGGTGAGATACATCCCAAAAAACAAATCTGTCATGATAGCACCACCTTCAGTTTCAAAGTGTGTGGCGAACCTGTCTTCCTGACTTACCGTTTATGTAAAGATCTTTGCATTAGCCAGAACAAAACACTCGTTAGGCATTTCAGGCTTCTAGACCGAACTAAAACCTTGTAAGTAACCGTACTGAATATGTAATGATGCAAAGTCCATCTGGGTGACAGTTGGCAATTTGTGCCAAATCAAGAGCTTATGACTTCATAGAATATCTGATTTCTGTCAGAAATTTGCCCGTTTCAAGAGCAGTATGAGTATGGAGTTACAGAGTAGGATCAGCTCCTCGATTTGACAGGATCTACCGGAACCACTAAAGGTGGATCTCGTCTCGGGGCTAAAAAAGCAAAGGTCGCGTAGAAGGCTGCTCGAAGACATGTTGACGTTACAGAGTAAAAAGAGGTGAAGATATTCATTTAGAAATTCCGATCTTTTAAGAGAAAGGGCAGAAAAGGCAACTGTACAGGTTGGTCCAATTGGCAATACAAGAGGAGCACAACCTCTAGAAAACCAGAAAATTCAATTTTACTCTTTATACTTACCATGTTACTAGAAATACGATGAGTGTGGCACGCATGCCAACCGCCGCAGTGTGCCGAATGACGAGTGTGTTTCTCGGAGTGCTCGCCCTCGCGTCTCTTTCCTACGGCAACAGTTGACAGCAGCCGCTTGAACATCGACCGACTGATCATCATGGAAATCTCAGCTCTATACAGCTATGCAGACGCTTTATAAAGGGATCAAGTCGTAAAATGGGAGGATCTAGAGGATATCATTTACTCAAACAATAGGACGGGTATACCCTCTAGTATCTGCACTTCATCAAACTCTTCATGATGAGAAATGATGGACGAGAGGTGTTGCTTTACAACATGATAACAATACACCTTTACTTTGGCTACCTGAATTCATTACTCAATCTCCCGCCTTGGACCATTGGCTACCAGGTTACGGTAGCACCGTCTGACCGTAGGCGATAACTGTCAGAGAAAATAAATAAATGCAGCCTAGACCTACCTGGGCTGCAGTTATCCACTATTTCCCAGCAGTTAAAGATATACCCACTAACCCCGTCTAAAAATCATTTTCTGCTTCAAAAAAGCTTTCATAATGTTATGAGGCTGTAAAAATTTCTCTCTAGGCAACCCGCTGTACTAGTCACCGTCTCTCCTGCCCAGATCGCCTCTGCATTACCATTTAGGCCTTTTTACAACTGACTGCAGTGGTCAGAAATGAGGGTAAGTACTATCATTTCGGCCCACTAAAGAATATAATCCTGGTCGACCATTAGGCATTTAAAACAAAGTGGAAATCGACATGTACCTATCTCTCCGCTTTCGTGAAAAGACTAGCATGCTGGATTTTTCGGCTTCCTTCGGATAAGCCACCCTTCAGCTCTCGGTTCCGTTCTGCAGAACTGAACCTTTACGTATGTACCTAGGGTGTACCAGGTTATACCTTAATTAATAGCCGCTCATCTTTGCAGATACCCATTTCTCATCAATTAACTAGGAACGAGCAGAGTGTGGGTGGTTGTGCTGCTAATAAATCTATCCCATGAACTTTGCAGTAGTCATAGGATCCATCCCACCCCCACAAAATTACAAATCACAGTGGATGAACTTGCAACCTTCTTCCTGACGTTCCATGCCATGTGGCACATGCGGCGTCTACTGGACGAGTGCAATACAGCAGAGTCCAGAGGATGAGCAACGAACGAAAACAAGGACCACCTTTAACCCACTTCCGAATGTACAAATACTTGATCATCAGTTTCAAATATATCACCTTTCTTATTCCACTTTAAAAAGGGATTGGTGCGGGATGGTATACGGAAAGGACCAGTAGGATCATTATGACTTTTGTTTTGAATCCAGTTGACACATTTACCGTCTATTCGGGTTATTAGGGTGTAAAACCGCATTCAGGAAGTTATGTAAATGTTGTCCCACCCATCTTGAACTTGACCCGGCCTCTTCACTTGTTTCTCACGGAGTAAGAGAACGCCTATTGATCGTGAGGTAGGAAGAACTATGGAAAATCACTATTTCACTACAAGAGCCATGAATAACTGGGCGCTGAATCTCCAGGTTTTCCATTAAAAGACCTTGTAGCAAAGTGATCGCCCTTACCGACTGAATGAGAGCAATATTCATGGGCTCGCTAAGGATATATCTCTCCTGAAGGCACCGTTTACGATAACTCTCAGGTGTCTAGTTCGAGTGAAATAATGGATGTTATGATGCAGTATGGCCCAGAACTGGCGAAAAAGCGAGAAAATGAGCAGATGCTTCGAAAATCAGGAAAGGAAATTGGATTGTACGAGATTATGTTTCTGTGAATGTCTGAGTGCCTCTCATATAAGTGGACTAGTCGTCGGCGTCCTAACGAATCATTGCAGTGAAGCTGCCGCAATTAGACCCTCATAACACGGCCGACTCTGGGTGTGTACGTCGGACAAACCGGTTTCGGAGCCCTGAAACCCCCCGTCGAAATCATTTTCAACCCAAAAATGTCTCACTGCTATTTCCATGGGCCATAGATTCACCTAGGAGGAAATCTGATAGTGAGGAACCATTTTATCCCGAATTGTGCCTTTGAGCCTAAAGAACAGAAGTGATGTGGAGAAGAAGGAGGAGTTAAAGGAGGATATGTCGGCACCAGGTCATTCCAGCATCACTCAAGAGGAGACTTTGCACCTTGGCTTTTTTTGTGAGGTGGCGATAGTGTGCCTGCCCAAACGATATCGTACCATTAACCCGGACTGCTGCGAAAATTAAGGCTAAGTCACACGATCCAATGTAATGACTCATCTCAGCTTTGGATAACTATAAGCACCGAAATCCATACGGATGCGTTACTCGACAATAACTCACTATGAGTATCGGTTTGGTCCATTCTTTGCGCTCCAGTGTAGAGGAATTCGAAAAGTTTGTTATAGGAAAGAAACCGAAACACGTCATTTTTATCTGCTTGAATTCCAACGCACAACTTTCCTCATGAGGGCTTCTATAGTCCAAGCCTGTAGAGACGAAACAATCTGTATTTTAACAGTTGACATGGGACAACGGAAGTTGTAAAACACCCATATAGATTACTTCCTTCTTTTTACTTTTTTTCCGAAGGAAGATCTCGATCAGAAAACAGTTCGCTTTACAGTTAAAACTCGTTACAGATGGATACCGAATTGCCGATTTCAAACGTCTCTACAACCGCATGCGCCCCAATTTAACTTGACCTGAATATGCAAGAAACTCATTTCAGTTCTTGCCGATGTTCCAGTTAAGAGCAAGGTTAATCGGTCAGACACAAACACAACCGTTTAATGGGAACGAGTGTTAGAGTATAAAAGGTAGGCGAGATTATCCATTGACAGCATCATGTTTGAAGAGAAGCTTCTCATTGGTGTGGCTTCGGCCTTCTCTACTCTGGCCATTGCAGCCTGCCTGATCGTGGTCCCATCTCTCTACAACACTATCAATGAGATGCACGACCAGGTTCTNGTTCACATCTTACACTTTTCCTTCTCGGAATAATTTATTATTTTCAGGGCAGCCTGGAGCACCCGGACGTCCAGGTAATGATGCTACCTCCACCTACGCTCCCATCAACTGCCCCGGTCCCAGCAGAGATTGCATTCAGTGTCCAGCTGGTCCTCCAGGACCACCAGGACCGAGTGGAGCTCCTGGAAATAGGGGACCCAATGGAAATCCAGGACGTCCAGGGGGACCTGGTAATGCTGGTAGACCAGGTCCTCCTGGTCCTCCTGGAGATGCTGGAGCACCAGGAAGACCAGGATCAGCTGGATCGCCTGGGCAGCCTGGAAGACCTGGCACTACTGGAAGAGGTACCCCTGGAAGACCCGGACCAGCTGGACCTATTGGAGCTCCAGGAAATGCAGGAGGCCCAGGAAGAGCTGGAGCTCCTGGAAACCCCGGCAGACCTGGGCCAGCTGGACAGCCTGGCGGACGCGGACAGCCAGGAAATAATGGACGACCTGGAAATCGTGGAAACCCGGCAGGTCCAGGAGGTGATGCTGCATACTGCCCCTGCCCACCCAGTTATCGTGCTCGTGTATGATGTTCAACGATTTGATAAATCTTTCTTCTCAATCACAGCCTTTCGAAAATTTAAGTGACTTCGGCAAAACATTTGCTACCAACACCACAAATTTCAAGAAATGAAGCAAACTGTTCGCTTCTAGATCTAAGCAATAGTGTAAAAAGCGTGAAACCTGATAAATGGGTGTACTGTTAAAATGAAAATCAGCGAGCTCTCAAGTCACATCACTGGCATCGTGAAGGCCTTTTTCATATGGAAGCCGGAAGCCATTGAGAGTGCATCAATCTGACTCAGGGTCTGCTGATCAAAATTTACAGTAATCTTAATGTTCTTGATTTTGTAATGGGGCCATAGTAACTACAAGAGCAAATTGTGGAAAATAATCGGGCAACTGGCTATCTTACCCTTTAAGCTTCGCTGAAAGAGTTGACTCTTTGAGACCCCGATGGCGTCAAGGGGCGCACTACGTATGTCACACATGGTCGGAGGTTCGAATTTTGATTTGATAACCGCCCAGTTCAAACGAAACTTTTAGTTTTTTGCCCGTTTCTACGGCCTTGCTTGAGTGGTCCCGGACTTGTCTAGGAAGGTAAATGCACTTATTTGAATGGCCATAACGTATCACCTTACCACGCTACCGTAGATTCTAAATGATAATCGAGCGCAATGGCGCATCCAATGAATGTCATTGATTGACTGCAAAGAAATCTACCCTTCACCCTTTCCTGCTAGGGAATAAATATTAGCAAATTGGTAAGTTCGCAGCAGTCTCAGGGCCACACGCGAGATTTCCTCCTCCAGAGAAAGTCTTTCCAGAAATGATGGTTTTCAAACGCGTGTTGGTGTTTTTTGCATGATATTAAGAGTTTTCCTTCGAGTACTGTAGAAAAGTGAGACTCTCTTAGCTGAGCAAGCCTTGGCTTGAGAACAATGAGGAAAGGTATGGATCAATAATGCTTCCCTCCAAAGGCAAGCGATATTCAAGTCCTAAATCCGCAGTAGGGCCTAGTCCTCCCCTTGCCCCACTTCCTCGTAAAGGCGTGCACCTCTTATTGTTCTAATGGCTCATTCGAGCTCTACCTTACTAGAAAGTACTGTCAATGAAAGGATCTTATGGGTTCGAAAAGTGGCACTGCGGTTAGCCGGAGTTCGGATTCATATACGTATATTCAGTAGCCTAGCTCTATAGGTCCTTATGGCGAAACTGCTCACACAAGAGCTACTTAACATGCCCACAACTCTTAACTGGTTTAACCCAAACCGGGTTAACCAAACGAAGATGAGGAAAAAAGATCAGGTGGGATGGAAGAGGCAAAGTTCTATTGAGTTATAACGAAGCTACACCAGGCAAGAAGTTGGTAGTAATGCGCTTTGAAAGTTGTGGGTAAGAAGTAAGGTGCATATCAAATTGAAATTGAAGTAAAAAACAAAAAAAGTTTCCTCTACTCCTTTCGTGCAGTTCACTTCACCCGTTCAGGTCTCCTATTCGGCTACTATCTATGCAGTTGGTCTATAGTTTAATGGCTTTAGTTGGTGTCAGAAAGCTGCGGGAAGGAGGAGGTCATCATTTCACATACAGGGGTAATTGGAGGAATGGACTGTCCCTTTTCGTTTGAAGCCGGCTCACGAAAGTGTGAAAGATCCCCGCTTCAGAACTTTGCTAGGACGCACTCTTTTGCAACTTGAGATAGTTTGTTGACTGGCGAGCCGCTATGACTACATCGGTGGGACCTGATAGGTGTTTGGACTAAGATTTTACTCGGCAAAGAAATGGGACTCACCCTCAGCAATGGCAACTGTTCGAGCGGAGCATACCGTAAGCGTTCAACAGAGATGCGTATTAGCGCGTCAAGTTAGGTGTAAGTCTGTAATTTTCACCATACAACAGTTAGACGTCCTACCTAACAGAACGCCTTGAATTTGTAACTCTCAACAATACCTTCTTCTTTTTGTGAGGCTTGTAAGCTGGTGTTTCTTGCCGTCCTATATAGAATTTATAGAATTACACAACATTTNAACTTTTTTTGTTGACTTTCCTTATTTGGCCGCTTTGCTCAATGTGAAAGTCTCACAGGATTGGCGATTGGTGGAAGAAAACTTCGTCCTGGAACTGGACCTGAATCCATACTTGTGCTTTTCGGGTACTGTGCTCTTGATCCCTTTCACTACCGAGACCTAAAGGCGAGGTTAGGCAAGGTCTCGATAGTGTTACGGATAAAGAGAATTGTGCTAGGAAAGCAGAGGTGCTGGATCGAGTCCCGTCCAAGGACAAAGTTTCGCCCATTACCCGGAAAAATATGTCAGCATTTTCAGTGTAGCCATAGGTAAGGGTAATATGGATGATCAAGAAGAAGCTCCTCCGCCAAGAAAACAGCGGTTCAAGGTACGCTGTCTTCACTATCATTTTTTGTCTAACTTGTTTTATAGAGCGATCTATCACAACAGAATGAGCCATTCTGATTTCAGTATCTTACATTTAATCAGTATGTGGCTTCGATTGGAGGAGATAATGCCAGATTCAGTAAAAAGCTATCGCATCGCCCTGATGATAGCGAGTTGTTCTTCACGGAGGCTTTAACGAAATGGAATGATCAGGACTTCGGTGTTCATTATAGTAAGTTCAGTAGCTAAAGTGGCCTTCTGGAGAGTTGGGAAAGGTAGCCTTATCTCGATGTAGTAGTCCAATTACCATAACGAATCCTCGGAAAAAAACATATGCAGAAACAGGTAGTTGCTTAGTTTGTAACTGTTGACAAATTTAATTCAAGCTGGAAAAATCCTACTTCTTCNGGGGGGGGGGGGGGGGGTTCAAAGGTTGTAGTTCATTGTCGATTACCCGGCCAAATGTTAGCGCATTCGTTTAGTGGGGGTGTTTGCTGTCGATGGATTCGAGGTTTTCTGCTAGGAATATCCTTTCAGTCGACTACTTTACATATTGATTATGTAGCGGTGATCACTATAGGATCGTAGCTGTTGATAGATAATCGATATTTAACTTCTACGAGGGATATTTACATAGTTAATCGTGGTAACATTAGTCATCAGGGAAAGTTATCGTTGCACCACACTAATCACTGATCAAATCCATTTCAGCTTCATTTGTGGACAGTTTACCTTGTGAAGAACTTAACACTCATGCTCAACTGCTTTATCATAAAAAGGCCATAACCGAATTATTACTGAAAAACTTACAAGATCAGGTAGTTCAAATCTCTATTCTGCGAACATTTTGCTAATGGAATGAATACTAGTTAGCTTGATGCAGTCCTATTTAGAACAACAAGTCTATTCAAGCATTTTGTGAGCTATTATCGGCACTTGTTCGCGATTTGAAAGAAGACTTCCGCGATGATATGTGGGATTTCTTTGGAGCGCTGACGAATGTGCTAGGTAAGTCCAAAGCTGAACTGTTACTTTTTCGTCTACCGCCGTCATATTCTTCTCACATCAAAATGCTTTTATAGATCTGGGCGAACGCGATGTTGAGTCAGTAGAAGCGGCGTTTTTTACCCTGTCGCTTATGGTGAAAATTATGTGGAGAACACTGATTAAAGATTTTATGGCTTCCTTCGTGTGAGTAAAGTCCTTTTTTCAAGTAATTCAAAACCGTTATCAGTAAGAGCACCTAAAAGCCAATTTTGAAGCTGCTCTTGTAAATTTCGTAAGTTTTATTTCTGCAACCTAATAATATTTCCAGTCATTTCATCCCACTTTTTGGAAGTAGCAGACCCTACGTTCGTCGTTTCGCGGCCGAATCATTTTCGTTCGTAATGAGGAAATCCTCGAAGCTCGTCAAGGTATAACTTTTCCAGCTCTTAACTATTTCTTGGGTTTCGGTTATTTGTGCTAATGATTGTCTCTATTCACTGCAGATATCCCAGCATGTCGTGGAGCAGACATACAAGGTACAGGATGAACGACTGACTGAGGGTTGTGCTGAATTGTTTTTCTACGTGTGTAGAGGAATAGCCGGCGGATTTCATAGCGCTGCGAAAGAGGTGAGGTAAATGGTTGTATGGGCAAGCACAGAACTTGCGGCTGCCAGTTTTTCTTAGATCCCACAATTCCGAGAATAACGGACAAGGAATTGTTGGCTTACTGCAGAATTACAGTTGTCTGCAACATATTCTTTAAAAGTGCATCCCTCAACTTTATCTCAAAGAGTTTTTATGTTCCTTTTACCAGAATATTTTCAGCAAATCGGTAGCATCGTCACCGGTGTTCTCAAACTTTCTGATCCTGATGTTCGGGAATATGGCGTGGTTATACTAGAGAAGACAGTGGATTTCATCGTGAAATATGTTCAGAAGTCATCAAAGGGAGATCTCACATTTCTTGAGGAAACTTTAATTGTGAGGCGCTTTTTTGAGTTTCCTCAAATTTTCTATTACACGCACTTCCCATGTTACAGGACACAATGGAAAGTGTTTCAACAATGCTAGACTGTACATATGCGGTACGACTTTTAAGTCTGTGTTTTGTGCAACGAAAATGGAAGAACTTGTTTTCTTCACAAGAGCGTTTGGCCTCAGCCATTGAGAGGGTCTTCACTTCTCCGTTTTTTACGCTGAACTCGGAATTTATCCAGTTTCTTTCGAAAGTGAGTTCAGCCGAGTCTCTCGCTCTCCGGAGTTCTGACATGTGTTATTCTCTTCCAAGGTGCTCATGAATATTTCTAGTGCATACTCCTTGTCTACGTCGATAAGAATTGGGGTAGCCGCATTGGTTCACTTTGTGCAAAAATGATCTCGCTTGAGGGCAGCTTTTCACTGGTACGACACGTTGCTTTGTTCATTCACATACAAGGATTAGATTTCTGCGATCATTCTTACTTACAGGTACTGGATCTCCTCGATACTCTGCCAGAAGTAGTATATTTTGATGAGTATATTTTGCCAGTTATTGGTAAGCTATCGGAGGTATTGTTTGCCAAGGTGAGGCTGTAAACAGCATGCTTGTAGAAAACAGCAGCATGGTGCTCATTCGATGTTCCACTCTTTTTACCCTCTCTTGCTGAAAATTCGAACATTTTATTTTGAAGGAACCATCATTATCACTTCGACTGCTCAATTTGTATTCATCGATTTGTATAAAGAAAAGGCCAATTCAAAATGCTTTGTCACGAAGTGAGTTTTGAATTTTTGGTGGCTAGCTATCTCAGTGGTGTAGACTGATCACATGTTAACTATTCGTCAGTTTGGAATCCGAATCATTATGTCTAGGCCGTACTCCTATATTCGACGTTGCCCACCATCTTAGCGTTAAGCAGCACGTGATCGAGCTGATTCCTCGGCTTGGTTCGTCTGAAAGGTCTCTTATAGCGCCGGTGCTTGTGATTTGGCCTTGGATCCTTGATGCATCTGAAAAGACATTAGGTAAGCCGTCACTTTCTTCAGAAATTCATTATCACTGTGAGAAAAATACAGTGACAGACGCTTGTTGGAGGGAATGATGTTGGACATATTCTTCAAGCCACGACAGGGTTCACGTTGTGTCACTATAAAATCTTCAAAGGAAGGTGCCTTGAGGAATGGAGTTGAAACCTCGCATTATGCTGCTTTGTTCCATCGTCAAGAAACAGTGTATTAGGCACTTCCTTTGTTTCAACAGCGAGCTTTATATTGGAACGCTCTATTGCAAGATAAAAGAATCTTGCGTCGTGAGCAAATGTTTGCCCTTTACATAACTACATGAGAGTGACTCTCATTAACTTCATTAGCGTTTGTGCGGAGCTATTCGTCACTTGAGATATTTAAATGTTTCAGCTCCTCACCAGTTAGAAGTAACAATATTATTCGTGCTTCTATTACAGGTGTTGAGAACGTGGTCAACTTCTTGAAAGTACTAGTCTCTGGCGAAGATTATTCTCGCGAAGCTTCACAACTTGCTCTAATTGCTGCCTCCTCGCTCTATCAAGTAGATAAATCTCTTCTAAGGAGGCTTGATCAAAGTGAAGTGGAGCAGTTTGTAAGGTATTGGAAGTGACTTGCTTTGTTTTAACTAAACTTTTTTTCTTATTGGTTTTAGTGGCTCCAAGAGTAACTGGTATTGAGTTAGTTTTGAGATCGTTTCTTTCAAATAAAAATATTTTTAGATGTACGAATTGTCGCGAATCTTCACTTAGATTCTATCAGTTTTACTTAGAAGCCAATGAGAAGGTGCTAGAGGAGAGCAACTTGAGGAGGTAACTTTGTTCTTATTTTAATAATGCAACGTAGAAACTTTTTGATCTCAAAGATCAATCAAAAATCATAAGCCGTTTCTCGCTTGATAATGGCTCGCAAGAGAGTGCTCGAATCTCTTACTAAAACGCAGGCTTTTCTTGTTGTTAGCGAGTTTTACATTTAAGATTGCCCGGATTTCAATGCCCTATGCGATGCCTTGATACCAACAACTAATACTGTTTTGAACCGTACGAATAGGCCTAGCGCTGCTCGAGAAGTTTTCATGAAAATTCTTTAACTTCTCCTTTTACCTTTTGCATGTCGTCTTTTCAAAGTGAGTATTACGGAAATCCTTTACAAAGCAAACTCTAGGTAAAGCGTCCGGGTGTTGCTATATCGCTCGTGCCCTTTTCGAGGGTGTGGTGCGATTCGTGCGATTCTGGGTGCGCGCGGCAAATTGCGCGGCGAGATTCGGTGCGATTCGAACGACTCTGACGCCTATTATTGGGGCACAAACTTGAAGTAGAATAGTTGGGTATGGTCAGCTGATCCTACTTGTCTACTCTGCTTCAAGTTTGAGCTCCAATTATAGGCGCAGGAGTTGTTTGAAATATCGCGAATNTCATTCACATACAAGGATTAGATTTCTGCGATGATGTCTCTTACTTACAGGTACTGGATCTCCTCGATACTCTGCCAGAAGTAGTATATTTTGATGAGTATATTTTG